GGTGGGTTGTTGGAGAGGTAAGAGAAACCAAGCCTTTAGGCATCAAACAAGATCAACAACGTATTTCTCAAGAACAGTGAAAGAGGCGACAGTTGCTATTAAAACAAATGAATTATGATCAAGAGTTGCATGTTCATCACTTGTCCAAATATCTCAAGCACCTATACTTTTTGTTTTCATTTAAAAGGAGCCCCCCCCCTCCCACTTATTGCTCCTGTCTATGTGGATGTTTCTGTCTTTACTCAAGCTTTACATTTATACTAGACTTGACTTCATTATAATGTGGTCAAAAATTTGTGGCGCTACTTATTGTCAAATATTTCCTCAACTATCAGATGTAGACTTTCCAGTTTTTGCTCAATGACTTGTATCAATTCGTCTTAACAGATCAACATTTTTGGAAACACCTATTAACAGTATTCTTTAAAAGTTCTAAGTGGTTGGTTTCTACAGATTTCAAACGTTTTACAGCTGGGACGATAGCGCTTTTAAAAGCAAGACCGTCATTTTTTAGAATGGCAACAAACTGCTTATTGAACACATATTTTGAAAACCTCTAGGGAAAAAAAGTGTTCCTTATAACATTATTTTCTTGGAACAAGTTTTGCTACTAAAAAGTGTCATTGGTGAACTATGAAACACCAAACCATTGTGCCAGGATCTGGACAATAAAGATGTATCTTATCTTTTCTTATGCAAAATGTGTGTGAAAAGCGGGAAGTGCTGTGAACAATCCCTTTTCACCCCAATAGTTGCGGGAAAATATGATTAGTTAAGACAAATAGATACTAACAGCTGGGCGATATTGATTCATCCATTTAAGAGACATTTGAGGATAAGTTGCGCCACGAATTTTTGACCGGGCTATAAAATGTGTGTTGACTAAATTGGTGTCGATAGTGCCGTAAAACACCTGTTCAATCAATCATACACGATGTGTAATGAACTCAAAGTAGCATTACTTCCGTGCTCCTTCTCTCCAATTCAAAATCAGTTGTCCTTCTACCCTTTCTTATCTGCCTATGTCACTCTCTTGTCACGCCTCTAATCTTCGGTACTTATATGACCTGTTTTGTGCTACAAGTGCCGTAAAACTCAAACCAAATCTAAATCTAGCCTTCTTTCTGTGCCTCTGTCCCTAACGATCTCTAGTGGGTGGTTGATGGGTGCTCTGGTGTGGTGTGGTTTGCTTCTTCTTTCCTATCAAACATCTATCTTCCTGATCTCTCCTCCTTTTTTTGTGTTGTTACTCTTTAGTAGCACCTCTAATCTTCGGCACTTGTATGACCTTATTGTGCTGCAAGTGCCGTAAAACTCTAATCAGAGCTAAAACTAACAGTAACATACTTTCTGTGCCCTTGCCCCTAGAAATCTCCACCCTCAAGGATCATAGCGATCATTCCAGGGCCCATTCCCAGCAACCACCCACCTCCATGCTCTGCTCCGTGACTTTCAGCAGCCATAACATTATCAACAACGCTCTAACACCATTAGACAGGCTTGACCC